TAAAATCATGATGTATCTCGCTGCATTGCGCGAGTACGCTTCTAGTATAATATAATATAGATTACCTTTTTTATTCAAGATTACTAGTTGATTAAACATAAGTACAACTTATTAAAGTTATATTAAATTCATGTAACTAACTGCAGATAAACATAAATTAGAAGGGGGTCAAACTTCTTTTTTCTTAAATGAAAAAAAGTTTGAATATGAATATAGATAAGCATTGCGAGATAAAAACACTTATCACTGTTCATATAACTAACCGATATACACAAGAAAATCTTAAATAAAACATCTTATTTTTTATTTTTTATTTTTTTATTTTTAAATATAAAATAATTTAAATATAGTTATCATTTAAATTAAATAGCTTTGACCCTTAACAAAATACTTTATCGTTATTTTTATAAAAATATATATAATAAAATTTAAATTAAACAAATTAAACCAGAGAAATAGAATTTTATAATCTTTAGTTTGAAACCCATATATATTTTAAGATAAAATAATAAACAACTCATCTCTAACTTTCCCAAAACCGTAAAATAAAATCGGGAAAAAAACTAACAACAAAAGAAAGAATAATTCATGATTTAGGGTTCGAGATTTAGATTTCAGAACCCACTGCATTACGCATATACACTTAGGAGGTGTTTGGTTCATGGAATTTGGTGGAATTAGAAGGAATTGGAATATCCAAATCTTTGACCAAATTCTAAATCCCATGTTTGGTTCACATAATAGATGTGAAGGAATTCTTCCAATTCCAACCAATTTCATCCAATTCCTTAATTCATTGATTTTACAATTCCATCGCATATACCACGGATTTCAAATTCTAATCCAACAAACTCCTTAGCCCTCATCCATTCATCGACGTTGTATCTCGATTTGCTCCTTAGCCCTCAAATTCCACGGATTTGTTCGATCTCGTTTAAAACTAAGAATGACAACGGGTCAGGTTTGGGCCGGTTATTGGTATCCCCGTCCCAAAAACCGATAATTAAAACCGTCCCCATGACCGCCCTGATCCCCGTCGAGGATCTTATCGGGTCCCGCGGTTTCCCCGATCCCCGTTGGGGAATTCCTGAAGATAAAATTCCTCTTTTTCCCGTTCACCGTTGGTTGTAAGCGAACCTGAAAACTGAAACCCGAAACAGATCTAAAACTCCTCATGAAAATCCCCGAATTTAATATATATATATATATATATATATTATGTATATAAATTAAAATTAATATATATACACATATCAAGCGGGGCCGGGCCGGGCCGATGATCACCGTCCCCACCCCCGTCCCCGTTAAAATCCCCGAATTTGTTCCCGATCCCCGATAAGATGTCCCCGAACCCAGCCCGAAAGTTCCGGTTTCAGTTTTTTTTCCTGTAATTTTCTCGTTGAATTCCTTGAACGAAACAAAAAAATTCCAATTCGGTTAAGAATTCCATTCCAATTTCATCCAACCAAACGCAATCAAAAGACATGGTCAAATTCCATTTCATTCCCTCAAAGTCAAATTCATTTGATGAATTCCAATTCCATTGAATTTCATTCTACGAACCAAACACCCCCTTATAGTTCTTAGAAACATCCAAATAATTACCTAAACTAACTCCAGAGTCATGTTCAATCTACAACAATAATCAAATAAGAAAGCAGTTAAATCACATGTGATTCACACAACTCTAGCCTCTACCTAAGGTTGCCGCCACGTCATTCACATACTCTTGCATTGACCGTTAGTGTAAAATCATATGTGATTTTGTACATGATGGGAGCGTTTTCGTGTTATCTTATTTAGTTATTTTTTTAGTTTGAACCTCCCTCCTTATCCTTAACTTGGTATTTATAATTTCATGTTATTTGTCTGGGATTATAATATAAGAACATCTCTAACAGCTATGTTATTTCATAAGTTTTGGAGATTTTGGGGTAATGTTATTCCAACAGTCATACTAAACTCTTAACAAATCTTCATATTTGGTAGGAGAGAGAAAATATAGCATACATGTTACACATATCTTTTTAAAACTAGTTTATAAGTGATTTATTTTTTTTAATTCATTGAATAAAATTGTTAGGTGGTG